GGAATTGTCCCCTATGGTATGGACAGTTACCTTCCTAACAATAGGTACACCATGGCAGAGCTATTGTTTCAGTAAGAAAATTTAGCCTCCAGAGCAAATACTGTGAATGGATACTGTGAGTATTGGGGTCAAATCCCTTTCCACGGCCACAGTTAAATATGCACCATCCAGAAACTTACCTCTCAGGCCCCCACATGCCACCACATTAGACGTGGCTGGTTATAAACCTGGCCTTGTGTCTTCACACCCCCGGAATACTCATCCGCATATCATCTCCTCTGACTTTCCCCTGTTGTTCTATCTTGAGCCTTCCAGAGTGAGTGATTGCCCTTCTCAAACTAGTCGGTATGTCACCTCTCAGATATTCAGCCAGCGTCATGCATGCTGCTCTTATCTTTTTCTTCTCTTATCTTTCTCTTGGAATGAAGACCCAGTGTGGTGAAGTTGAAAGGGCCCTTGAGTCTGAGGACCTGGACCTGGGCCCCTGCCTCCCTCATTAGCTGGGTGACCTGGTCTTGTCTTCCTGGGCTGAGAAAGGAAGAGAGCTGGAAGGTCCTGCAGAAGTGCAGTCGGTGTTACATAGTTTTGTGTGTGTCTGTCTCAGCTTTTAATGAGGGGCAGGCTGAGAGAGTGTGTGTATGTGTGTTAGGAGCTTGTTGATTGATTTCCTGGGTGTCACCAGTGTTTGTAACCTACAGTAGCCCTGCCAAGACTTTCTCTTTCCACTTTCAAGGGTAGCAGCAACCTGACATCTTCTCATTAATCAAATGCACTATATTAAGCTAATGTTTTAACAAATATTATGAGTGGCAAAGCCGGCTGTTTCTTCTGGAGATTAATTAGTCATCTGCAAAATGACTTTGCATTGCCAGAAGATTGGATGTAGTGAAGAGACCAGGATATGGGGAAGAAATAAATGGATTGGCGGTAGTGAAGAACTGAGGGCCATGTTTATTTCTAAGGTGAAAATGTCTTTGCTGTTAAGCTTGCATGAAGTAGGAAGTATTTATATGGATGCAGAAGGACAATTGCATGGAGAAATAGCAAGTTTCGTGGATCTTGTTTTTTGGTTATTGTGATATTCTTTTTCTGCAGAATGCTTGTAAATAGTAACATATCAATGTTAACTATGCAAAATATCATTGTTTCTGAAAGTTTATTTAGCATCTAAAGTGTGAAGAGCCCTCTTAAATCTGTTGGGGAACTGGGACTCTGTCCAGCAGATGACTGTTTTTGTTGAATTGTACTGTGTAGTTGCCATTTGAATATGTGATGCATGGCAGGAACTCAGGATACTGTTTCACGGCAAGTAAGTTGTGTGGCATCAGAAGGTGTTTCTGACACCGAAAGGTGGGAGACAGGGTTGCGGGGAGGGGGCTGCAACCACTCTATTGAAGCGTATGCCAAAGTGCTAGTGACTTGAGAAGTGGGCAGAGTCAGTAACTAGGAGAAGATGAGGGGAAGACAGTGAGATAGGAGACACGAGTCAAGATGCTGTGGATTACAGTAGTTATGGTATGTGTGAGGAGAAGCAAGGAACAGTTTGGCTCAAGTCCACTTTGTTTTTTCTTCTTTTTGAGGGGGCTGTGCCGATTCTTCCTGGTACCATGCAGGCTTCAATAGTTGCAGCATGTGGTCATCTCTAGTTGTGATGTGTGTGCTTAGGTCCCCCCCGATGTGTAGGATCTTAGTTCCCTGACCAGGGATTGAACCCACAACTGCTGCATTGAAAGGTGGGTTCTTAAGTAACTGTTGGGCCACCAGGGAAGTCCTTCAAGTCCACCTGTGCTAGGGAATAGCTAGCAGGCTGGATGGAGCTGGAGTGAGAGAGCATCACAGAAGGGTGTATGGTGAACTGTTGTGACACGATAAAATAGAGGAATGTAGTTGATAGTGGCATGAAAGAGCCACTGAGTTGGTGAAAGAGCAGAACGACTATGGATAGGAAGGGAAATCTGTGGGCTTTTTAAAATCCTGATTGTCTGTGTCCATGTGTGTGGGCATGAGAAGGATTAGTTGAATCACATGTTCTGTGGTTTGTCCAGCACCAAGGGATCCATCTAGGGCATGGTGAGGCAGCTGTCTCCCAGGCTGGAGCTCAGAGCCGGAAAGGCAGCTTGGAAGAACTACCTGGCAGAACCTCATCTGCCTCTGTGGCTGTGGATTCCTAAATATCAGAACTGATGTGAAGTGCCTGGTTTAATAAATCCATCCAGAAACAGTTCTGATTTACTGGTCTTCTTTTTGCTTTGGCATTCTTACTTCTTAGCTGCTTACAGTGAGGCCTAGAATTCCACAAGGCAGAGGATAACAGTTTACCCCTCACTGCAGACCTAGTCCAGTTCTGACTGAGCCCCATGAGTGAGAGTCAAGGCTAGGTGGCCCGTGTCCTAGGGGATCCAGCTCCGCTTTGGTGAATCTCAGCGGGATACTGAGGTGACCCTATAAAATGTTTCTTGGCCCAAGGTGAACTTGGGAATTATTAGATTTTACATTCTTCTCTCACACTAAGTCTTCAAACCTGGTGTGTACATTACTCTGACTTAAGCACATCTCAGTTTGGACTGAGCACCCTTCAGTGTTTGATAGCCGGTGACTATCAAATGGCTATCCATGTCTGGTAGCCATGTGGTTGGTGGCTAGTATATTGGACAGTCTGTGCTGTGTGCTGTGTTTAGTCACTCTGCTGTGTCTGACTCTCTGCGACCCCATGGACTGCAGCACACCAGGCTTCTCTGTCTGTAGGGATTCTCCAGGCAAGAACACTGGAGTGGGTATTCATTTCCCTACTCCAGGGGGTCTTCCCAACCCAGGGATCAAACCCAGGTCTCCTGCACTGCAGGCAGATTCTTTACCAAACTGAGCTACCAGGGAAGCCCTTGGACAGTCTAGCTACTCTTAAAGAAAGCAGACTTTTGAGGGTGGTTTTAGGTTCACAGAAAAATTGAGTGCGAAGTACAGAGTTTGTATGTGTTTTCAGCACCCCCTCTACACACACAGCCTCCTTAACTCTCAAGATCCCCCACCAGAGCAGTGCATTTGTTTTAATTGCTGAACCTACATTGACACATCATTATCACTCAAATCCCATAGTTTATATTAGGCTTCACTCTTGGCGTTGTAAATTCTATGGGTTTTCACAGACGTATAATAACATGTATCTACTGTTAGAGTGTCAACGGCCCTAAAAGTCTCTGCTCCGCCCATTCTTCCCTCCCTCCTTACCCTCTAGTCCCTGGCAACCACTGAGCCTTTTACTGTCTCCATGGTTGTGCCTTTTCATGAATGGCATATAATTGGAATCATACAATATGTAGCCTTTTCACACTGACTTTTTCACTTAGTAACATGCATTTGTTACCTGTGTCTGTTCACAACTTGATAACTCATTTCTTTTTAGTGCCGAATAATGCTACATTATCTGGATGTACCACATTTTATTTATGGAGGACAACTTTACAAATTAGGACTACATCCCAGTGGTGGGGTATATTGCAGGGATTGGATGTATGTGTGTTAGTGTCTGAGAGTTGTGGGAATGGAGAAGTTGGAATAGCTGTGACTTTCTTTTTTGCCATGCTTAAAAAGTTTCTAGAAGCATCAGTTGAGAGAGAAGAGTTGGTGTAGGACAGAGTTCATTGTGGAAGTCTTGGAGAAACATTTCCATAACCATAAAGGCAAATCCTCTTCTCTTACTTTCTTATAACTCACTCCCCACAGAGCCTGGCATCTGCCTAGTCCAGAGCCTTCTGATAAATGAGAAAATGTCTGTGTCAAAATACTCCCTCCAAGCCAGTTATATGAAAACATGTAAACTAAGCAAATGGTTGGAAGAAAACAGAAAGCTGAGTTGCATGGGCACTATTTCTTGATCAAAGAACATTAAGCAAAAAAAGTGGGGACTTCCCGGGTGGTCCAGTGGCTAAGACTCTGCACTCCCAGTGCAGGGGGCCCAGGTTCTCTCCCTGGTCAGTGAACTAGATCTCACATGCTGCAGCTGAAGATTCTGCTTTCCTCAGGATCGAGGATCCCACATGCCATGACTGGGACCTGGTGCAAACGTATAAAAACATAAAAATAATAATACAAGAGCAAAACAGAAGTTGCTATAGTTCAGAGGTCATGTCCACCATTTGAGGACACAGCTCTGCTCTATTTGCTTTATTTTGGGGAGGCTACTGCTGAATGACCTGTCTTGTCTCAGCTGAGGTTAATTTCCTGCCAGTTGAGCACTTTTTTGGCAGGGGTTGGTGCATCAATTCCGAGAACTGTGATCGCAAAGCTGGAAAGCCAGTTCATCAGGCTATGGTATCACTGCCTGGTTAAGTGTATTAACTGGAAGATGACATCATTTCAGCCATTTTGAATCTAAAATACAAGGATTACTCTTTCATAGGATGAGTTAACATCAGAAGATAGGTCCATTTTCTTTCTCATCAACAGTTTAATATCTTCTAATACCTCTTGTCATTGGTGAGCTAAGAGAATCATTAGGGATAGTAATAAAGGGCTCTATTTAGGAATGAGCCACCATGAAAATGCTGCTGATTTCAGTTTACATCCATAGTTTTCAGACCCTTTTCAGTATATTAAATTACTGGTGAAAAATACCGAAGTAATGGCTAGTTTGACAAGATTACCGTTTTTTAGGAGAACCAAAAGATTCAGTCTTATCCTGTTTGGACAAGTTGCACTGCTGTTGGGAAGCATTTTGTTTTTTGTATTTACAAGTCAGTCATCCCAAGTTCTCTTTAAGCAGAGCAGGAAAAAAACTAGCTAGTTCTGTAGTCCATCCCAAACAATGCAAACCATCTCTCAGCTTTAATTTTCTCAGTCACAAGATGAGAGTTGCATCTATTTGCAAGTATTACTCTAATATCACCAGATGAAATGGTCCAAGAAGTAGAGATTAGTATAATGAATTACTGTGCTTCAGGGGAAAGGAAAGGCTCTTCATAATAAGGATGTTTTGTTGTACTTTTTTTCCAGCTTCTTTCAAAATGTCTACCGTTCATGAAATTCTGTGCAAGCTCAGTTTGGAGGGTGATGTAAGTATATCATTTTCATTTGGTGTAATTTTTGATGGTTGGGCATCTTTGGGTAACTGTGCCCCTTCTTTTCCTTGTGCATCTAAAGAAAATGAGGACAGAATTAAGATACTCGTTCCCCTGTTGGTTCCTGTCTTCCCCATTACTTTAACTATTCCTAGTAGTTCAATTTGAAAGAAGTGTTATGGCTTCAGAAACTGTTTTGGTGTCAGATCAAAATTGGGCATACACTAGTGACATTGATGTGCCTGGAACTTTATCCTGCTGTATACTTAACATGCCAGTGATAGTGCTTGTTATGATGACACAGAACTTTTAGCATCATGCCCTCAGATTTTATTAATGGCTGCATCAAGCTGCAGCCATATTGAAGATGATCTTGCATGTTTTAGAGAAGCTTTTCTCTAAAACCACTAGAATTTTTTTAAACTAATAAAAGTATTCTATATTCTAATTCATCATGATGCCTTTTTTGCTTTGGTTACCAGAGAGCTCAGAATTGTATTTGTCTTTCACAGGAACCGAGAAATTCTGATGCATTTGGTTTTTTTTTTGGTTTATTTTATGGTCAAAAATTTTGAAATCTATATGCAAAACTATAAGTCATTGCAAATACTTTTAGAATAAAGTAGAATAAAAGTTGTGAATGTGTAAATTACCTAGTAATACCATACATCATCCAGGTCATCTTGGCAGAACTGGCTTTTACAGAAACTCAGCAGTGACACTGGTCTGTAAGCATATCTTACAGATATTTCAAAATATGCTGTCACTAAAAACTTATATATATATATATATGCTGTCACTGAAAGTAAAATACAAAGCACTCAAGTGGGTCGACAGCAGCCTGGGTCATGAGGAACAGAATCCTCCGTCCCTGGTGCTTACCAATAAACTGTTCCAATGATGTCATTGGTGTAAGCACAAGTTGTATGGCGTATAAAGCCTACGTCATTTTCATCTTTCCTCTTGGACCTTGTGCATACTGTTGCTGGCAACCATACAAGTGGCACATTGAGGTCCAGACAAGTCTAAGAGCTAAATACATTTTTTCTTAATGGAGTAGATCATTAATTTGTTTTTAGTATCAGGTTTCATAAGAGGGCTTTTCATGTGGCCTTTGAAGTTCCTCAGGTATGATGTGTTTCTTGATGTGCAGAGATGGGACTGCAACAGAAAACGTCATGTATGCTCCAGTACATTGAGGGAAGAGAAACATTACTTTTGCCTTCTTAATTTGATATTCAGATAAATGGATTTTACAGATGATTGCTTCAATTGCCCATTTAATTTTATTTCCAGAGATAAAAGTATGCAAAACTTTTCCCTACTCACTATTGTTTCTGAAATGAGATGACATAGCACCTGCTATATGAAGCCACATTTCATATGGCTCAATGACTAGACTGCCTGCCTTTGTAAATAATGGTTGGAATTGTTAATAAATAAGAAAATGTGTTCCCATGGATTTCTTAACTTATTTTGTAGCCACTCTAACATATACAGTAAGTATTTCAGAATAATACTTTGTCCTTACCTTTTCTTGATTGTGTGCTCTATTTCCATTGAGTTAATCTTGCTGGAAAGTTTAGTGAAATTATAATGAAAACACCTTGATAATCCACTGTGTTTCAGTTATACATATTAACTGGATTTACCGCTTAGCCAAGATGATCACAAGTTAGTTTGAAATATTTTGTCCAGTCATGAACTTAGATTTGTGGGTTTGTCCTGGGAGACACTTGAAAGGATGGCATCTTAGTTGCTTACCTGTGCAGCCTCACTGCTATTAATAATACATGCTGGGATGCCTTGTAACATGATGTGTGTGTGTGTGGAAAGCTACGTCAGGGTGACTCAGTCTCTCACTCTTTCCAGAAACTGAGCCATGGCAAAGTCATGTATGATGGGAAGTATATTCTGAGAGGAGGTAGGATGGGGGAGCCTTGATGCTGAAGGTGGTAGATAGCTCCACCACCCTTCAGCCACCCTAAAGAACATTGTCAGTGCTGTTTAGTCTGTCCTTTGCTTTCAGACTGGATAGCAAGGGGGAATAAAGCTGCAGGAGCATTTCAAAGGAGAAAAATTAACATTTTTGGAAAGGAGAACTGATGTAAAACTGTGCTATTACCTCAGTCTAGGGTGGGTCCCTCAGATCAAGAACAGTGTCAAGAACAGCTTTCCAGGGCTTTGAAAAGCCCTGGAAAGCAAGAGTGAGTGCATGGTTTAAAAGACAGAAAAACAAGATTCTAGGAAGAGTAGTTGGTGGAAGTGTCTTTCACACAAGTGAAAGACAGAAGAGAGGTTTTATGATGATGGCCATTCTGACTGGTGTGAAGTGGTATCTCATTGCAGTTATGATTTGTATTTCTCTAATAGTTAGCAATGTTGAACATCTTTTCGTGTGCCTCCTGGCCATCTGTATGTCTTGTCTGGAGAAATATGTGTACATTGGGAACTCAGCTCCATGTTATGTGACACTGAGTAGAGCTCAGTGAGCCTGGATAGGAGGGGAATTTGGAGGAGAGTGGATACACGTCATGTATGGCTGAGTCACTTTGCTGTGTGCTTGCAACTATCCTAACATTGTTACTTGGCTGTACCCCGATATAAAGTAAAAAGTTAAAAAGAAGAAGAAAAGACAGCAGAAGGGAGGGGAGAGAGAGGAGAGAAAAGAGGAAGAACGTGGCCAACATGTAGAGGATGTGGGCCACATGGCCTGACCACCTTGGTGCCACGGCTGTGGCCAGAGTAGGGGATGGAGGAAGAAGCTTCCCTCACTTGCCTGCTGGTCTGAGACCAGCAGGCAGGCACTCTGCATTTGCTTTCTAAAGAACTGTGACACAGGCCCAGTGGAAATTCATGTGCCTGTAGCAAAAACTTGGCGAAACACACTTGTCATTCAGGCATTTCCACATTTCCAGCTTGTTTCAAATTGTTGGCAGCCCAGTTTTGTGCTCTTCAAAGCCTTCCCCAGAGAAACAGGTGGTTTCAAGTGCCCAGCTTTGCCTTGTCCACTTTGAGCTTGCACACAAAGTAAGATGAAAAGTAAAAATAGATTTATCAAATTCTTAACTAGTTGAGCCTTTGAAGAATTCTCATTGGAAACAAGGAAGTTTTATATCCTATGTGTGATGGCGTGTTAATACTTACAAGTTCCCTGGCCTAAGAATGATGTGAATTGCTAAAAAAACAAAATAATAGGAGAAAAAATTTTAGTAATTGACATTTCAACAAAAGGATTTTAAATGTGTATGACTTCAGTGTGTTTGCCTTTTAACCTCAGCACTCGACACCTCCAAGTGCATACGGGTCAGTCAAAGCATACACTAACTTTGATGCTGAGCGGGATGCTCTGAACATTGAAACAGCCATCAAGACCAAAGGTAAGCCATATGTTTATCCTCTTGTCAGACTCTCATAAAAATGTTATCAGTCTCTGTCTTTCCTCTTCATACATTGGTCATTTGAAATTGTCATCGAGCTTTAATGAAGTGATCCAAACCTACCCCATCCCATCCTTCCCTTCTTCCTTCCACCTTCCTCCCTCCCTCCTCCCCTAGGAGAGAAGAAGAGGATTTAAAGCATGAGAAATTAACCGAATGGCCTAGTGACATGGAAATAGGCTTATATCTCAGGGCCAGGAGGCCTGATCCCGAATGTGTGCTTTGGGCTCAGAGGCTTCAGCCTCTGAGGAAGGAATTGGAAGAATTGGAATTGGAAGGAAGAAATTGGTCATGGTGATCCCGCAGGGCCTCTTTTTGGTCCTAAGTCCCCTTGAATTTCATCACTTTTGTTGGAAAATTGCTGGGTACATTTTGCTGCTTTGCTCTTAATTGATCTAATGAGCAAAAAATCCAGGCTTTTTTTTTTTTTTTTTTTAAACTCCACAACTTATGTCACTCCTTAGGCCTGGAGCTCAGATTTAAAATCCAGGCTTTTTTTTTTTTTTTTTTTTAAACTCCACAAGTTATGTCACTCCTTAGGCCTGGAGCTCAGATTTAAAGAGCTGTCGGGATGACTGTATTTCCTAGAGTTCCAGGATGAGTAAGAGAGGATCAGGAGGCATAAAATCTTCCGTCCTGAAATAAAGCAGATAAAACATTTTGCGGGCAGAGTTGAGCAAGGACCTGTTCAGGTCATCATGTTGTTTTCTGTGTCTACAAAAGCCTGTGACCAGACTTTCAGGCTTCCGTTGATGAAGCGTGTACCTCTGGGGTTGCTCCATCCCTGGATCCCTGGAAACGCTGCGATGATTATGGTGATGCTTGTGATTCACCACACTCTTTCCCCACTTTGGACAAAGCGCTTCTTTACATGCAAAGCCTGTGAGACGCAGATGTGATTCAGCAGCTATTCTGACTGCTGGTTCATCCCCTGCTTACGAGCCGCAGGACATTAGGATGATGGAGTGTTTTTACTTGTCGGCACACCCCAACAGTTCACACACAGGTCACTGCAGACTGGGGACCTCAGTCAGGGCAACCTGGGGGGCCTAAAACTGGGGTGACCACATGTCCCCGTTTTGCCTGCATATTCACTGATTGTGCCCCCTTGCACCCTCAGAACTGTTGTATTTTGCAGGATAAGTTGCATAGTCACCTTTCCTAAAACCCTTGGAAAAACTGGATACTGTGTTTCCAGGGATAAGAAGGAATGTAGAAAGATCCTTTAGGTCCTGTGGTTCTGATGCAACATAGGCTTGCATCATCAGCCTCAAAGCAACCTTAGTTTCCATGAGGACACTGTGGGCACATCTGGCCTGGCCGACTAACTAACCTTCAAAAAGCCATCTCTTTTGGTGCTTTTAAATGACCATACTTGTCAAAGGTCAGGCTGGGAAGTCAGGAAGTCAGTGATCAGGAAGTGAAACTAAAATCTGCAGGTCTTATCTCCCAGCAGTCAGTTCTACTTGGTGGAACCTGGTGGATGAGAGCATATGTGTTTGTGGTTTCAAATCTTAGCTCTGCCACTAATTTACTAACTGCAGACTCTGGGAAAACATTTAGCTTCCTTAAGCCTGAACTTCCTTACTATAAAGGGGGAGCTAATAAAAGTTCCCACCTCACAGGGTTGTTGTGAAGTATGAAGCACATAGCGTGGTGCCTGCCATATAGACAACTCAGCGTATGTTACCTTAACACACACACACATAGTCCGCTCTCCTATAAACTCACTCCGTCTCACTATTTGGATGTGCCTATATTCCTAGGGTTTCCCAACAAGCCATTGTAGAGATACAATCGAAGTTTTAACAGCTCACTCATCTGACAAAGATGGTGCCTTTTACAAGCTTGAGACAAAGGCTGCTTTTATCCCTGCATGAGAAAGCTTTTAGTGCACTGGAATGTAAAGATTGCACAAGTGAACTCTGGCAACAGCTGAAACTCCCAGGGTAATAAAAATACCTTCAGGCCCTTTCTGAGTTAGTAGAAAAATACTCAAGTTTCTAAGCAGAAACGTCTGGAGAGCTAAGATTTGGATTCCTACATTCCGGTTTGGTCAAATGCAGCTGACATCACCATTATCAGAGTTGCAGGAGCTGCTTTTTGAGTGCTGCTCATTATGGGCTGGCATGGCACCTAGCACTTCAGGAACATTATTCCTAGGTGAACTTTGGATTAATTCTCTCATACTAGGTGCTGTCATCCCCAGTTTATGGAGGACACAGTTGAGGATTAACATGCTCCAGGTCTCTTGACTGTGGTTCAGACTGGGATTTGAATGTGACTCAGTCCAGCCCCAAGGCTGTGTTCTCACGCACCCTAATGTTACACCACCCACTTGGCAGGACCAGACTTCTTACTTTGCCATAAGTTGTGTTCAGGCATGAGACCATTTTCTATCTGTGATTCTAGAGATATCAGATATATGTCATATTTGTAGGTCCAGCTTTTGGTCCCCTGTCGTCTTCTTTCCCAAACTTAATGCCCCGTGAGTCCCACTTAGGACTGCTTTTTATTTACTTATTTTTGGTGCCTAGTGGTTTTAAAGAGTAACTGAATTTTCTTAAATCTGTCGACCCTTTAAAATAGTTTCTAAAAAATAAAATAAAATCGTTTCTGGATTGTTGGTGTATTTAGAACCTTAAATTCTTCTAGGACACTCTTGAGAGGAAAGACTGTGATATCCATACAGAGCTTAGTGATGTAGCAAAGATGTTATTGTCAGTATTGGTCATGATGGTGACAAAACCCAGGTCTCTCTTCTGGCTGGGGAGTGACTTAGTAAATTATGATAGCTCTCTATAGAATATCTGTAGAATGTCACCACAATATGAAAAGTAAAGTTTATTAACAGTTGTTTTACATTGCTATTGAGATAAAATTCACATCTCATACAATTCACCTATAGAAAATGTACAATTCAATGATTTTTTTTCCTAGTATATTCACAGACTTGTGCAACCATCCTTGCAGTCAATTTTGCAACACTCATTTTAACATAAATTTCACCTTAGATTTGTCAGTTGCATAAAAAATGGACATAAAATAGTAAATACAGGGAATTCCCTGGTGGTTCAATGGTTAGGATTCCATGCTTCTGCTTCAGGGGCTTGAGTTCAACCCCTGGTCAGGGAACTAAGATTTCACAAGACTTATAGTTAAGCTCCCTCTCCCCAAAATAGTATATACAGTATGATCACACCACAACAATTTTTTTTATGTCAGAAAGAAAAAATATGGCATTATTCTCTGTGTGTGTGTGTATATATATATATATATAATTCAATATATTCTGTATTTTCAAATTTTTCTATGATGACATATATTACCTTTGTAACGGGAAGCAATAAACCAAATTAAAAACAAATGAAGTTAATTACAATTGACTCCTGAACAACATGGGTTTGAACTACACTTACATGGATATTTTTCAGTAGTAAGTACTACACAATCAGAGGTTGGTTAGATGCATGGGTGTGAAATCAGTTATGTGGAGGGTTGACTGTAAGTTATATGTGGATTTTCCACTGTGGGGAGGGTCAGCATCCTAAATCCCTGAGTTGTTCAAGAGTCAGCTATAGTTGAGAAAGTCACATCCCTTTTTGTTTTTTTTTCTCCTTCTTGATCTTTTTAGATATTAACACTACTTTTTTTAAAAAAATGAGCTAATTAAGATCTTACCTTCCCTTTTAGAATGCCTTTCACTTTAAATGTAATTAAGAGGCTTGTGCCACTCCTTACCCAGCTTCCACCTCAAACCCTTTTCCAGAACACAGTGCAAATTAATTGGTGCTTCCTTGATAGCAAAGGAAAGAAAGGGTAAACCTCAAATGCTGATAGAAACAAAAGCCGAAGGACCATGGAAAGGTGGCTGTCTGTGGCCTCCCTCTCAGATGGTGTAGCCCAGGTGTGTGTGCATACTTGTGTGTGCGTGTGCCAAATGTAGAACTTGCTGGGCATTACTTGTGCTGCTAACATACATCGACCATCCCGTCGTCTGAGTGCTCTAAGCAAGAAGGGCTGCGAGCCGGTCACCTGTGGCTGAGGGTCACTCACTGCTGTTAAACGCGAAAACTGTGAACTGGGGCAAGCCTGCAGTGGGGAGGGTGAGGAGGGGCAGGCCTGGCTGAGATCTGTAGGGTGGGGCTGCAGAGACTGGTCAGAAGGCCTCGAAGTAGCTCTCATCCCTCCCTTCCCCTCTGCCCTTACAGTCTCTCATCTGGGCTGCGAGGGCGTCTGTCTTTATTTCTAAAGAGACTCCTTGCCTCATTCGTGATAGATTCTCCATCTAGCCTCATCTCCAGGCTATTTCATGCCCCACCCAGAGCCTTTGCTCTCTCAGGAGCATGCAGCCCTCTAGTGGGAGTGTTATCCCACTTCTAACATCTGGGCGGTTCCCATTTATCTCTCTCTCTCGGCACTTTTTTTGGCCATGCCACGTGGCATGTGGGATCTTAGTTTCCCAACCAGGAATTGAACCTTCCTACCCACCACCCCCTGATTTGAAGCGAGGAGTCTTAACTACTAGACCGACAGTGAAGTACCCCCACTCATCTCTTGACTTGAGCCAATGCACAGCCTCTTCTCCAAGCTTTCTCTTAGCAGGAAGGCAGAATCAATAATTCCTTGACTGTGTCTCATAATACTTTTCATCTCATTTATAGCTCTTGTCACATTGTATTAAAGTTATTTATCTACGGATTTGTCTCCTCCTACCAGCATGTGAGCTCATTGAGGGTGACGGCTTCACTTCATTAACCTTTTCTAACACCCATGCCACTGGGATCATGGGAGAACGTACATATTTAACCTGAATAGTAGTGAAAATGTACACAGATACCAGAGCTTAAAGGTGAGTGTGGACACGTGGCTGGCAAGATAAGGCAGCAAAAGACAGATCCGGAATCTGGACCATATCCACAAAGGATTAACAGTCCCCT